GGCCGCAGCCGTATTGGATTTCATTTGATGGTTCATCGGTCGACCGTGTTGACCTGTGGCTGTGGGTCAAATCCAACAGTTGACATGCCTTGTGTTGACCTATGTTGACCTTCCTGGTGTTGGTCAAACTCGCGGCAAATGGTGGACTGTTCGATGGAATATGGTGGGTCACGACCCATTCCCAGGTTGACAGAGCATTTACAGAACGGAACAATTGCAGAGGGATGGATATCCAGCTGTTGAATTCCGGGATCGTTTCTTTTGCACAAAGGCGGGTCAGATTGTGATGTCAGGGCAACGGGATGCTGTGTATATATACATCATTCTCTACTTGCTGCGCAAGCTGAGAGATGGTGGCCTTTAGGAGTGCCTACGGGTGCGACAGATTTCTTCCGCTTTGAGTTGGTGCCGGTTAGTGAGCACACCTTTGGCACGAGAAAGAACCATATTTGATGTAGACTTTTGCTGTGACCCAAACAGTGGTTTGTACGGTTTGTTCAATGATTGTTTCCAAGTTTTTTTTGTTTTTGTTGCCACCTCACCTCGCAGCAAGTTTGCATATATACATCGGATTGGCCTTTGGAGTTTTGCAGCTGTTTCGAGTGTTTTGGGACCATCCATGTTCCTGTCGGCTTTTGCGTTGCTTTCTCTTTTCAGGCCGCTGAGCTCGAGGCGGTTGGCTGGGGTGGGCCAGACTCGATGGTTGCAAACATGGCCTACATGAATTGCCCAAAAGCCACCAGTCATATAGGCCGCCCATGAACACATAGAGTGTTTGTGTTGGACAATGCGAAATGACTCACAAGACCAGATCAGAAGCAGCTACTGGATTTGTTGTGTGTTTTTTCATACCCATGTGCAGGAGGATGTTGCATCGTGTAGGAGAACTGTTTGAAATTATCTATATTTATATAATAACTATAAGAAACATCATGTCATGAACATTCATCAATCACATCACGGATCTGCAGGTGTTGTGCACCGCGCTGTGCACAGTGGTTGTTGTTGATGGCCTGGATGAGGTTACACAACGGTCGATTTTGTGGTTCTTCGAGTTCACCGTTAGGCTGCTGCGGACCGGGTGATGGTTTTAAATATTGGTATCAGCAGTCTTGTTAAATGTTAGAAAGCCATGCAAATGACATGTACACCGTTCCCTCCCTTAACACTCCATGGGACTTGCATATTTGCCTATCAGTTGGGGTGGTTGAAAAGGGGTCAATGTAGTCATTACAGGGAGTGTTTGGGCTCTCTCTAGATCCAAGCACATGAAAGTCGCTGCAGTGTTGTTTCGCCCTGCCCAGCTTGTCCCGAGGTCTTTTGAGAGCTGCGTTGGGTCGTTGGGCGCATGGGATAGTCCTTCTTCAGCGTTGGGCATGGGATATCCCAGTGAAACCCAGGTATAATAGCCAAGTGTCCAGACTGTGTTGCTCTCCCAGCAGATTTGGAGGGACATTCATGAAGGATCCAAACTTCACCTCGGGCCCAATCAACCTGAGATGCTTCATCTCCAGATGTCTTGAGTCAGAAGAAAGTCGCTGCACACCTGCCAGGAATCCGTTTGAGGTCTCCTGGACACCTACTCACACCAACCAGAGACCCCGGTGCGACCGTGGCAGCATTGCCATCGGCCTCGGTCTGGAGGCCGTGAGCACGTCGGCCTCGGACGAGCCCTCCGGAGCGGGGTCAAGCGCAGCTGCGGATGGAACCGGGTGGAATCTGATGGAACTTCCGGGTCCAGTTGGGGCAGAACCTCTTCCAGTTGGAACCTCTTGCTATTTTAGAACCCGGTGGTAGGGGGCCTACGGTGTGTAGTCAAGTGAAGCGAATTTTTACGGGATGTCTACCGAACCGCAATAGTCTATGACTGGAAGGACAAAGAAAACGGCTCATTTCTGCTCGCCCGCCCCCAAGCCAAATAGAGGTGGAGTCAAGATCGACAGATCAGTTCATGTTGGTTTGTAATAATATGTGAATGGGTCAAAACCTGGAGCCATTCTTCAGGTGTGAGGTGCCACCTTTGACATAGTGAAATCTCATCCCATTCATCGAAGATGAGTCGGCTAACTACCGGAGATCATCTCGATGTCGACAGCGTAGAAGCACCATCTGTTTGGAGGTCCTCAGAAGGTCCTAGCTAGAACCCTGCAAACCCGACCTGAAACAACCCCCAAGGCCTTCGCAGAAGGTATGTGGAGCCCCTTTTAATCTCCAACCATTCCTGTTTTGGCCGCCCCAGCCTCAAACGCACCGCTCCCCAATCGTGGTGGCTGGTTGCGCAACACTGGCAACTCGCGAATCTCATGGCTGCAGCGCGTTGTTCGGAGGTGGCGCACGCTGCCTGGCTGAGCTTAGACACACTCCGACTGCCATTTGGATAAGGTCTGTGTACCAAGAGAGGTTTCGTGACCTGATAGGAATTTACTGGGATACCTATGGGATAGTTTATAGGGTTCTTCAACCTCTGCTGGTATGTGTGTGGCGTCGGAGGTATAGGTTTCTTGTAACACAAACTTGCTCCAGACTTTGTATAGTCATAGTCTCTTTAACAACGTTTGCTGCTACATTATTTGTATGTGTATGTATATTTATTTGTTGTATTTGTATTATGTGCTGCTGCTGCTGCTGCTGCTGGTGTTGCCGATGGCAATTTCTTCGACATGCAGCTGAAAAGGGTGGAGGGAAACCCTTCGGCATTGTTTGCCGTTGCGATGCCGGCTCAACCAACTTGAAACTCGACGAACTTGGACCACACGCCGCGTCCCTTTTGTTTGGCAGGTCGCAAAAACAACATGCTTCAGAGATCAGAAAAGCTTCAAGCCAGGGACACGAGAGGACGTACTCGGACCCGGAACTGCTGGTACTCGGACCCAGGTCACATATTTTCTACGCTTCCTCGCGGTCTCGGACGTCTCGGTTGGACGTTCACAAGGGGAGGGGAGCATCTCCCGTCAAACGCTCCATGGGACTAACATATATTACATAATTTAACATACCAGGACCATCCAAGGGGTGTCCTGGCTGGACTACCCCGCACTACCTACTATATATATATATAGGCTTCCATTGGGCACCCCTTTGATGGTCCAGGTATTTTACACGATTTTACTGATCAGGCGCTTGTGGTGGTTGGCTTCAGCGGCTCAATGTAAATATGCCAATCCCAGTCTAAAATCATTGGTTGGGTGTCTCACATTCGTACACACCCAATCACACCCATTTGCCAATATGTTTGGGACCTTGTGTGGTTCATGTCCTTCCTGTCTTCCGGGGCATGCATTCTGAGGCTCTCGAGGCTTACTTTGATGGCCTTCACCGGGGAGACGTGGAACGTCCCTCGATGTCCGAGCTCAGCTGGGCGGACCCGGAGTGCGGATGAGAGAACCCCAAAACCATCAACTTAAGATGGTCTTAGAAGGTGTTTGGGGTGGGTTTAGAGGGTCCAAATACCTTCTAAGGAGGTACGACTGGAGCCGCGGGGGATGAATCTTTTTAGACTTGCTGTTCTTATAGAAATGATACGAGACGGTTGATGCGACCTTCTTCTTGGATGGCGACCGGAATGTCCGACTTGTTCACATGGAATTTCCTAGGACTGCTCCCAACTGACAACCGGAACGCCATTCTCCTTTTGGCCTTGGTTCCTCAGGCCGTTGGGGGGTCGTTCATGGCCGTTCTGTTCCTTATGTTGATACGATAGAAACACCCAAATCCCTCCCCCAAATACACTAACTACATCCATTTGTTGGGAGGTCCCATTCAAATTCGAAACAACCTCCAACTCCATCCAATCCTTGGAGCTCGGAGCTCTCAGGCATGAAGGAGGTTTGGCACCCCGAAGCCCGCCTCTACTGGGCCGACGCCGCCCGGGAGGGCGGCGTCGCAGACCGGAGTGCGGAGCAGTTCTTTGAGTACATGCGCTCCAGCACCAACTCGGCTGCGTGGATGAAACGCACGTTTGGACGATTCTGGACCATGGGGGCGATCCAGGAGGTTGGATGTGGACAATTGCTGGTGTGTTTGATGGTGTAAAATTGTAAAGGACAAGTGTTCTTGGAAACTGGGTGTTTTCGTGGGAGTAGAGGAGAAGTATACTTGGTCCAAGAAAGATCACTGCCAGGTCCCAGCCTGGCTTGACAGGAACCAGGTGTGGTGCAGGTGGGACCAACTAACGCAGATACCGTATGTGCTTGGTCCAGGTGTATGCAATCCCAAGGTTTTGGACTAGCGAGACCAAACCATCGGCAAACCATTGGGTCCTGTGGGTCAAAGCCAGGAGACCGACCGTTGTGGACCGGTTTCGGTCAAGCGGTTTCGGTCAAGCTCGTGGACGGTCAAGCTCGCGCTCCAGGTTTGGACATGTTTTGACCCATTCCCATCTACTCTATTGGGGAATTCACACAAATACCATCAAATCATGTCTAGCCATGTCCTCAGACAGGCTGTTTGGAGGGAGTCCTCATCCATCCCCATCCCTTTTCTCAGCTGTGGTTCAGGCAGGAGACCAGATCAATCCCCTTCATCCTCGTTCTGCTTTGGGTGAAAGAATACTATTTTTTTTTGTTTTTCCGTGGATTCACTCCACATGTTCATTGTTTTCACCGGTTCATCAAACAAATCCAAGCCACACCTCACTCGTTCGGCTTTGGGTTTCTCCTCCCGGACCTGGACGTGTGTGTTTTGACAGACAGTCCTGTCCATCTCCCATCCTGACAGTCCTTGCGGACCAGCCTCGCCCAGCAAGTTGTTGCTCCATCCACCGAAGCTGAGGAAGCTAACCATCCACCTGGTCCACTCTCACGAACACCACATCTGGTCCGGATGGCATGGTCCCTTTGGTCCCTTGACGAACTACTTTGCTTTACGAAATATAGGGGGTGCCATCCATGAAGCCATGTGAACAGCCTGTAAGAGTCTCAAAGATACGAGGACAAGGACTGATCGGCCGATCCGCGAATCTATTGTGACCTGGTATGGCATGGTCAGTGGGTAAGTTTGGTATGGTCAGTTTCACCGGTTGTGACCGTCCACCAAGCTTCTTCAAGGCTCGGCTCACCATCCATCGAACACCATACAGTCGCGTGTTTCAGGGCTTTTCAGATTTTTCAGCATCAGAGTCTTTGGTCCATTTCAAGCTCGGAGCTCGCACAAGGCTCAAAAGATCTGCCATTTTCCACTCTCCGCTGCCTGAGGAGGATCTCAGTGCCTACGACCAGATTCTCTCCTTAGACTTCGCCTCCAGTCGCTGCTGCGCTGCCCAGGTGCAGCTCGCGCTGAAGCAGAGCGACCCTGCAAGCGGAGCGCTGCTCTTCACAGACTTCTTGGTCTTGTTGCGCTGCTTGGACTTCTTGGGGCAAACTTGCAGAAAGAAACGTCTTGGGATTTTTCCTTAAATCGTGGAGAGGCTCCCGATTGGGCGAATGGCTTTCCTTTTTGGTGATTCACTCATGCCTTAATCAATCGAAGGCTTCCGAGTTGAAGGTGCTACGGTTTTTCAGAACAGCTGCACCCTCAAGCAGACAAAGTCATGTAAACACCACAGGCGCTTTTTTGCTATGGACTGGCAATGAATGCTTAGCAACTGATTTGTGTGTAGAGGTGTAGCGTAGCGTGCACGACTTGGTTGATCCACATCTTTGATAGAACCTAGGCCTCAACAAGAAGTGGCAGATCATCAGCAAGGTCTTCTCTTCTGTGCCTTTGTCAGAGCAGTCCTACCAAGAGCCCTATGATGCGCTGGCCTATGCAGTGAGTGAACCTCGGATAAGACGAACACCGTGGTCATGATATCCTTTTCATTTGAAAATTGTTTATATATGACATATGATTATTCTAATGCTAGTATACAGCTAGTATCTTCACACCTGATACAGTTTGCTCCATACTCTATCTATTCAGGATTTGGTGACTAATTCTTGCTTTAACCGACCAAAAACACTGTGCCTGTTCAACGAGGCTGGCAGTAGGTGGCAGACGTGTACCACTTGCCGGGCCATAGACGGCCTGCGGCCTGAGACGGCCTTTTTTGGGGTCATAGACGGGCCATAGACGGCCTGAACATGCTTGGCAACACACCTCATGTTCGGAGTCTTTCCAAGAAAGCAAAGGTCACCTCATCAGCGAAGAAGGCATTCAGGGGTGAGCTTACGTATGCTAACATGCTCTTCCTGGCCTCAAAGTTCAGAAGTCAATCTCAAGATTCTCAGACCATACTGCACCAGTTACTGCACCGAAGTTGCATGAAGTTGAGTATGAAGTTGTTAAAGGATGTTAAAGGTACCTGGTTTTACCACCATCATCCACCTGGTGGTATCCACCAGCCAGATCAACCAGTACACGCCATTCCCAGGACCCAGTACGTGGCATCTTGTCCTACATGCGAGGGGTACACCAGTCCTCTCCGTCCTTGGTTTCTGAGAGCTTCCACGGAGCTGCACGGCTTTGCTTTTCGGACCAGCAAGAGGAACTGGTCCGTTGGCCGCTCGGTGTGGCGGTTGGAGCTGCGGTTGGAGCTGGTGTCGGTGGCGGTTTCGGTGTTGCGACGTTGGCTCTGTGAGGATCAACACTCCTAATTAATTACACCAAATGTCGATAGGATTGTACTTAATTTGGGGCCGCGGAACAGGCAGCGGTTTCCAATGGTTTCCAGGTTTCCGTATTGGATGCATATGATATCTATAAGAGTACTGAGAATGTGGGAGATGTGGCTGGAAAAAGCGCCCTCGAGGATCCATCTATTTTAAAGCAAAGTCGAAGGAAGGCAGAGAGCTCGAAATATCTGCAGGCTTTGCCGCAAAAGGTACAAAAACGCACACAACCCTGCGCCGTCTTTGAGGTCCCGGGCCGAGTTCTTCGAGGTGTTGCAGGCACGGGCCAAGTCCTTGGACGATCCCCAGGCGCGGCGTGGAGAAGGAGCGGAACATGTCAATAGCGCCGAGCTGAGAGAGGCACGGCCCTGCTGAAGAAGAGGCACGGCCCTCGTTTAAGGTACTGTAGAATCTTGAGTAATAAACCCCCCTGATTTGGATGCACTCACTTGCGAAGTCTTCTCGCTTCTACACCACCCCTTGCTGTTGTAGCGGGTGTGGGTAGAGTGTTGTGAGACCTTGAACAATGAGAAAGCAGATCCTAGACAGAATATGTACACGAAGGCAACTACGACGAAAGGCTATGTGGCATCGAAGCAAACCGAACAGCAATCAAGTCTAACGATCTCGAGTCCAAGGTTCAAACCTTTTTGAATTCTAGTCACACAAATTCAGAGAACTAATTCAGTGCCCGCTCGGATGGGCAATGGTATCAAAATCTTTTTTACGACATAATGCATAGCGGACATGCTGCAAAAACGCGTCTGCTTTGGTCCGTTCAACTTCTGGCCACTGGGGCCAGGGTGGTGGGGACAAATTTTGTGGCAGTGACGGCAGTAGCACATCTGTGTTAAATGGCGGGTCGTGAGGCATGGTCTTCAACATGGCATGGAGTGTACTATATGTTTCAACCGCGTTGGGCAACTGGGGCCGTCGTGAAATGCCACCTTCATGATCATTTAGTGAAGCCTAATCGGGTCAGGCTAGATGTTCCTTGTTTTGTGTACGTTGGTATAATCTTTGATCTTGAGAATGTCTGAATGTGTTTGACCACCCATCGAAAGTTCTCGGCTAGGATGCGAAGGGATTTGGCCTTCACTGGCAATAATTGAACCTGGGGGTCATCATAAGCCAAGTATTTATAGCCTTTATCTTCCTTGATACGGATGGGCATCTTACGGTTTGACCAAATCATGAAAGATATTACTAACTCGACCCAAGAGATGCCCGGGTCAGCTGGTTGGCGTGGTGTGGTAGGATCAGGCCATCGCAACTGAGAGCAAAACTGCCACACTAAGTATGTCAGATTTGTACCCCATGTACTACACCAAAATACTACTCTATGCGGGATTGCGGGCATAGTGTAGGCTGTTTCACGCACTTGCCAGTGCTGTAACTTATGGATCTGTTTTTGAAAAACGTCGACAGCCTCACCGGACAGGGGCCCGAGTGGTTCATGTAGAGTCTTTTTCTGCTTGGTCAACTCTATCTTAGACATCCTTGCATGCGCAAGGTCAATCATATACATGTAGACCTGTCTGAGTATTCTTTGTTGATGTTGTAAGTGTTGCTGGACCGTTGTACAAATATTGGCAAAATCCGTATCATCAATTCGACGAATTTGCATGGCTGTCTGATCTGCAAAGGCATTTCCCCGAATATGCCATGCCTGTGTGTCGGTTTGAGCTTGTGCAATGTCTTGATGTGATTTAATTTTGACAACGGTAAATTTAGCCGGTTGCCAGGTCAAGATTAATCTTCGGATTAAGTCCCAGTGTGCTTTTTTTGTGTGGGCTTGTAAAGATTGTTTCATCTTCAATTTGATTTATGCAATTGACAACATATTGGGAATCGGTGACAAATTGTATGTTGCTTGCGGAATCGTCGGTGGATATAAGCTCTACAGCCACCACCATGGCGTACAATTCAGCACGACCAATTGTCTGGTGGCCAGGGCAATGCCCTGCCGCAAGCACCTGAAAGTTCCAGTTGATGGTCTCTGTTTCATGAGTAGGATCAGTTGGTGTCCTAATGATGGCTGCCCAGGCCGCACGTGCGGCATATGGGTCCCGAGGATTATCACAGGTGCCGTCTCTGTACACCACCGTATGGTTGGGGATGTGATGGGGCGTGTGAATGGTACATGTTTGGTCTCGGAGGTGCATGGCCTGCCGGACTAGTTCTGTGTTTTGGTGGTGGTATGGCAGTGGGAACCAGCAGGCATAGTGGTTGTTCGAAATGTATGTTATGGCTTCTGCATGCTCGGCTCGTGTGGTTGCAAATTCTGGACAATCTAACAGTTGGTGCGTATGCGTATCAAATTGGCCACACCACGGGCAATGTGGGTCTTGTGTGGCAGACCAATTTGCTATTGCGCCTAACGATTGCCATCCGGACGTGAGACTTAGCGCCAAAATTCTTCTTTGTCTGTCGGTCAATGTCTGCATCAAGCGAATGGTGGTAAGGGAGTCAAAGGGATTTTGTGGAACTCCCTTGCGGTGATAGACCTCTTTATGGCAATGCCAGTCCCATGCTATGCGAACTTGAGCCTTAATCTGCTTGGACGAGGATCCTGACAGACTGACTCGCAGGCCACCTGGACCCAGGAGGGTTGCATTACTTGAAACTTCCCAGCCTAACTTATTCAAGTAAGAGGCCAAGGCACTGGCTGGTCCGCGAACTTTACCGTCGAACGTTCGGAGTGTGTGGAGTATACTTTGTGCAGCGTCTGGATAGTATACATATAGGCGGCGGAGCGTTGTAAGCATATCAGTAACTATATACAGCAACGGGTCCTGGACTCGTTCTGTCAGGTAGTGTAAAGCTATCATACTGGAGGCGTATTTGTGGTCACCGACTAACACATTCGTGGCTGCTCGCCGTAATGTCGTGAAGTGTTTATCTCCGATGGTAAGCCCAAGGGCTCCATAGAAGACCGCCGGCCAGATAGCCGTTTGTATTTTCTCTGCCCGTTCTTCAAGGGAAAGTTGCAATTTCCTGAGGCGGTTACACTTGGCAATGGCGTTATCAATTTTATCACGATGTGGTCCGAGTACCACTGCATTTGTGTATGATATAGTACATCCCAGGTCATGAACATGACTCTTAATGACGAACTGGAACGTGGGATCCAGTAGTAGGGCCGATGCACTTTCCCAAAAGGTGCGGAACTGTTTAGTTGTTGCCCAACACCACGACTTCCTGAAGTCGATTTGCATCTTAAGATCAGAGACAAGATTGAACAATGTAGTCATGGCTTGGAAGCAGTGTCGTTCTGACGTTGACATGAATGACCAGTTATCTGCATATGCATAGGGGAAGACTCTAGGGGATTGCAACTTGGCATGGAACACAAAGCTCAAGGCCAGCATACCAACCACGGACATACTGTCACCTTCGGGCAAACCAGTTGTCGATGAATATGGGTCACTAAGATTCCTTCCGCTCTGCAGTACACGAGTCAGTCTTGCCAAGGACAGGAACCAAAAGTTGGTAATATATGAGGGCACTCCTAATAGTTCAAGAATGTGTCTGATGATTCGGCGTGGTATAAGGTTTAATGCTTTCACAAGATCCATAGTCCACCCTCCCCATGCTGTAGTATGACTAGTCTTTGCATGCTCAATTTGCAATTGTTGTAGTATGCATAGGTCTCGGGCCGAGCGACGCGGTAGACCCCCACTTATCACCGGTGGCCAGTGTGCAGCCCACTGAGCTAGAATTTGGTCAGAAATTAGCTTCGAAGTGATACGCACCATATAGCCTAGTATTGTTATGGGTCTACCGTCTGAAATTGATGTTGGGTGGTCTCTTTTTGCAAAAAGTAATGTACGCGCCCTCATCAGCTGTGTACTAAGGCCTATGTGCCATACTCGCGTGAGCAAGGTGGTAAAGTCTTGTAGCATTGTATCTGTTAAACATTGCAGCTCTTCAGCGTGCCAGCCGTCTACTCCGACAGCTTTGTGAGATTTTAATCGTCTGATAGACTCCTTTAGGAATTTTGGATTGTCAAACACTACTGTTAACATTGGTTGTGCTGGAATCGTTTCCTCTAGATCATCAATAAGGGGTTGCCACTCAACATCCGAATGTCGGGACTCATACGAGTCTCGCATCCAAAATTGAGACCAATAGGCCTGAAATTCCCGAGACATGGTTGGCATGGTGTATGCATGGGACTTATACCTTACGATACCCGCACCAGGCAGGCATCCCGACACATCTGCGAGCGTTAAGGTCTTATCTGCAACTTGGCTAACTGTGGCTGTACAATTACCAAATTCAATGCAAGCCCCTTGCGGAATATCTGCAGGTTCTGATAGGCGGATTTTCGGTTGGTTACGAAATGCTCGGCACAGAGTGGCCTGGGCTGTAATCTCGTCGTTCAGAAACCTTTGCTCCTTTCCCTTAATGAACCTGTAAGCATTCGCATTATTATTGTGGGACTTAGCCAGGACTAATGAGTGCCCTGATTTGGATGCACGCAACGCACCCACAAGGCCGCCCCTTGCTCATGAGTCATGAGTAGAGCGGCCCCTGATTCGTTTTGTGAAACCTCGGTTCGCATCAGTGTAAATGAAATCCGAGTGAAAAGACAAGTGAACGGACGCTCAAAGCGGAAACTCCCACGAAGAAAGCGACTTGGAACATCCGGCATCCATCAACTCGGCTAGTTTGTAAAGCGCTTCAACAGTGAACCTCGGAACAGGTTCATCCCCCAAGTTCCATTTTCATTAGCGTAGATGACCTTCCTGAGCAAAGGAACAAGGCTTTCCTGGGCAAATTCTGCAAACCTCCAAGTGATCAAGTCCAATCCTTTAAGCATGATCCCTCAGTCCCACCAGTTGTTGCGGAGAAAAGGACCATGTGTTATTTTTGGTGTTTTGTGTGTTTGTTTGTCTCTATTCCAACCGCCATTGATTTAATGCTTCTCACTGAACACCATTGTTTTACTTTAAGGATTTTAGACTGGAAAACCAGGTCAACGTAGGTCGTTCCCATATTTTAAAATCGGCGAACTCGAACGTTTTGTTCGTGCTGCGTTTGTTTGTTCGTGCAAAAAGCCTTCTCTATTGACTCGCCGCAAAGAGCGTTGTTGCAGGCCTTGCGCTTCGACAAGATCCTCAGTGTCCGCAAAGCAGGGCCCGCCACTGGGGCGACACGATGGTATGGGGGTTCCCAATCAAACTGATTAACACTAACAGGAAAAACCATGCAATATTGAAAACACACACAAACGTTCAAACAAAATCTAAGTTGTTTTGTTCAGAGTATCCCCAAATTGGCCACGTATTTGATTGATTCACCTCAGATTGCTCAAGATGATCGTTTGTTCTGCATGAGTTCCGTGTTTGTTTCTCACATCACTTTAGGATATGGTGTTTCCATGCCGGTTAAACAAATAACAGTTGAGGACCAAGACCATCCAAAACCTAGAAAAATGTAGGGTCTTACTAAAAAAAACAAAAACATCCAACTAAAGCCGGGTTTCTCAAAAACAATTCACAAAAGATTTTGTTTAACGGGCAAATTACGGGTTTTGCACGGGATAAATACGGTTTCTGAACATGAGAAACCGAGTTTGTCACTGAAAAACTAGGTTTTCGTCAGAGTGTCTTGTATGCCAAAACACGCATTTTCGGAAAAAGGTCGTCTATTTTCTAGGGTTTGGTTGCTCCTGGCATTCAGAATTCCCTCGGTACATCATGATGACCGGTTTAGTGGTTTGCAAGCTTTGGCCCTGCCTATGGGCAAGGCTGGCCTCTATCGGCTGAGCCGATAAAGTGAATGCTTTGCACACTTGCAGAGAACGACCTGGGGACCTACTGACCTGGTTTCGGGCTTGTGTCAACCTTTTCGATGTAAACAGGGGTCAGATGGGTCTACGTTGTTACTATAAGCTACCATCATTCGCGAACTAGCTATCATCCGGAATGCCAGAATGCTCCATGGATTGAGCTTTGAGTTCCCTGGTGCAGGGTATCCGCTGAGAAACGTTACACACCCTGAGGATGTAGCCCTTATTAAGCTCCAGGCGAGGAAGCCGAAGACGGAGCCGGAGACGCGAAGACGTGAACGGTGGCGATCATCACCCTCCAACTGTTCTCTCTTCTCAAGAGGTGAAATTGAGGACTGCAACAACAACGACAACTAATTCCGGGTCCTGGACCTGAAACAAATAAGGGGGGGTGCAATGGAGATCCACTAAGCAGTGTCCAAGAATTCCAGCCAGGAGAACCCGTAGGTGCTGGTAGGTGCTGGTTTTTCGTTCGTTCACGGAGAAAGCAGGTTGGAAGTTCTTGGACTCTCAAGGTTTTTTGGGACCTTGGCGGCCGCCGTTCACACTTCTTGACCGTTTGGGTGCGAGCCGAGCTTCTCGGCTGCCCGGTGCCCGGCAACAGTAAAACGGGTGTTCCGAAAAGGGCTCAGCCGAGCTCGGGGGGGGCCGGGTGCATGTCCATGGTTCCCAGGGAATGTATATATACTTACTTTATAGTATACTTGTATACCTCTATCCTGTTGGCCGCTGCCACGTTTGAATGTTTGGGCGATGGAATTGGGGAGACGATCGCTGGTTTGGATTTTCCTTCGGAGATGTGAAGAACATGATCTCAATGTTTGTTGCTCAAGTACCTGGCACATGATGCTGAGATACCATGAGATCAGCCATACCTGGTACATGATGCTTCATTGCTAGTCGGCCAAAAACTCATCAAAAATCTCATGAAATACGATCAAAGAAGGGGGACGGGATCCGGGATGGGAAAGCTGACTAGCACACCTGCGACAGACGCTCCAAGTATGGCTCATGTACCGACCCTGAATCTGCAAGTGCAACGGCTTTTTGGGGTATATATAGGGGGAATGAGTATACAATCAAGAGTCTACATTGTTTATGTCAGAACAAGACATGAGACATGAAACGTAACATTGAGCATCTTGAACTCTTGAGGATGAGCAAGGAGGGAGCAAATCTCCCTAAACCATCTCGAGGCCGGAGTCATCCTCTACTTTTCCAGGCTGCTCACGTCGTGTTTTTCATGAAATCAAGCGTGTTTTTCCTGCTTCAGGTAGGCTTGCCGCCTGTCCTCTACACCGACTTCCTCTCAATGCTACGGCTGAACGGCCGATGGTGGATCATTGCCAAAAGCTCCGACGGCGAGCCGTTTTAAAGCGACCGAAGGTGACAGAAAGCCTTGTCGGTGTTTGTGATTTGCGTCCAAAAAACAATGTCCTTGTCGGGACAAGTGTGATCCAATCGAAAGAGCCTGATGTTTCTTAAAGCCAGGAGTCACAAGACGGGGTGACTGGAGGAAAGGGGTGCCCACTATCCACTCACTTAGAGGCTAAAGCCCACTTCATTTTGACTCCTGGAGTATATGTGTTTCTTTGTGAAATCTAATGGTTGCACTTGTCAAAGCAAATCCTGCTGCTGAAGCCCGATGAAAACATGGTTACAAAGACCATGAACATCGATGTGGGCAACAGGATGACCCGGCTTTTCTTGAAGGAAAAGACGTTTTCGCTGAGTTTCTCATACCACCAAATCCAGTGCCCCGCTCTTCTCCGCGGTTCGACAGAGGTGAGACACCAGAGGTGTGACACCGCCGTGAGAATGACCGGACCTTGCAACAGGAGTGCAACAACTATAGCTGGTATCCGGTTCCAATGACTAAATCCACAAAACTGAGCGAAGGTTTGTGGTTCCTTATAATATGCTAACCGGGATCCACTATCGGATGATTTCCTGATCTTCTGGCACCCTGAGTTCCTTAGATGACATGTGTCCCTGTAAAGGGACGGCTGACTGGTCCAAATCAAATCAGACCTGGAGCTGGAACCTAAAGTTCATTTATTCCACAACCCAGAGTTCCATAGCTTACAATACAGGTTGCGAAGCTGGAATTCCACATCACACGTGTTGAACCGACCGCAACGTTCGCGTTCGCAGTTGGGGGCGGACACTGACGCCGAATTGGCCGAAGTTCGGAAGATCACTCCGAAGGTTCCATGTCCCAAGCCAGAACTCTCCTCATATACCAGCTGCGCCACTGGACACGGGGTCACCTGGCTGGATATCTCCACACGACGTAAACAGGTCTCCAGACAGGGCACCCCGACAGGAAGCGCCGGGTATAATTTTGCAGCTTTTGGATGACTAAATCAAACACACAGTAGACCCCCCAGAGAACGGCTGGCTCCTGCGGCAGAGCTCTTAAGCAGGAGGTTTTGGATGTGCTAGTTCAACTAGTTGCAGGCAAAATAGGTAAAGGCCCTCCCCAAAAAGGCTGGCTCAAATCACAAAGACTCCAGGCTTTTGAGCTTATTGATCCACTGTGGATCCATAGATTGCATGAGAGGTCGATGGAAAGTCCCAACCAGTCATCACCCCCGAAAATGGACCCTCCCTAAGAATCCTCATGCCCCCCCAAGTTAGGGCTCCAACCATATCCTCAGAAGGTATTTGGACCTCTAAACCCACCCCAAACATCTTAGCTTAGAAGGTACTTGGAGCCCTATAGCTGATTCTGAAGCATGTTCGTGACCCACCTCCCTACTAGGAGCTCCCGAGCGCCCGAAACTGGCGCTGGTGGCTGCCTTCAACGGCCGCGACCTTGGTATCCGATGGGAGAGGGTCTAAAGGTCATTTTAAGCTAGTTTGGCTAGTTTTCCCATTTTGGGTGTGAGTGCAGTTGACTTAATCGATGGTGATGGGATCTACTCATCGGCAGCTTCTCATCGCTGTGTCCCACCGTGTCCGCAGCGAGTCCCATGCCTGGTGGAGGAAGTAGGGTTCAGGGTTTGGACTCTGGAGCCAGTCCCAGTCCCATCACCGATTTCAGCACTGTGTGCAGGTCGTTGGTCAACTCCAAATACATCCGAAGAAGATATCTGAAGAGTGCCCTTGCCATGGCACTTGCCATGGCACGTCGCACTCGGGGGTCGAGACCCGCGGGGGAGACCCGCGATCCGCGCGGTGCACGCTCGCCTCCGATCCTCCGCCAAGGCGGCCACAGGAACTGCCCCGAAAGCTGCGACGGCTGCGAGAACGGCGCAGGACGGCGGTTCGACGCTTTCGGCCTCGGCTTCGCCCCACAGGACCCACGGGTTTGTGCAGGCATCAACCCGGTCGTTCTGCATGGTCCAGGTAGGTATAGAGATGACCGACAGCAAAAGCCATGGCGGAAGGGTCGTTGGCCCCTCATCCGATCCGTGGCCGCTCCTCCTCCGATCCCGTCCTCTTCTTTTTCAACGGGTTCGACCTGATGAAGGTCTGGTGAAGGAAGCGCGTGCATTCAAAAAGTGCGGGCTTTGGCAAGCCACTAAGCCAAGCTAAGAATCATGCACCCTCAAAGGTGAAGGGTTTGGTGCGGGTCCGGATCCTTGGTGGGGTCAGTGAAAACATCGAAGAACTGCGTGGATATTGAAATCCCATGGTGTCCAATTCGGATTGATTGTGAACGCATGTGAGCCGCAACACACAGGGCGAGGTGTTTGCCAGCAACAAAAACTCGAGCTCGAAACCAAATCCTCCAAGAGTAGTATAATATGAGCGAGAAAGGCAAAAAGCGCACTTTGCTTATTGGATGATGTGTTATTTTCCCGGGTGAATCCCCTGTGGATGATGTTGGTTAACCACGAAAGATTCACCCTAGGGCTCCAGTTGTACCTTCGTTTCGAAGGTGGGACTGGGGTGGGTGCCAGGAGGGTCCGGTCATACCTTCTAAGGAGGTACGACTGGAGCCCAAACGGGTCATTGATGACCATTGTCCCGGCTTTATCCCCGTGGCTCCAAGACAGGCGATCCGTTCGTCGTTTGGAAGACGTTTGGAATCATCCGTTTCTCGGAACGGAGAAATCGTCATCCGTCCCAAACCTGCCATCGTCCGGTGATGTTGTTCCGAAGGATGTTCTCTTTTTGTGCCAACCATGCCGATTCAGAGAAAGGTCAAGGTGTAACACCGCCACACTGGAGTTGAACCTCAGGTGCAACCAGTCCACTTCTTTTGGAATCTGTTGGATCATGGTCTCGGTGCTTATTTTGATGTGAGGCTTAACAGGAGAGACGCTGAGAAACTCCGCTGTCAGTGGATAACATCTTAACGTCCCTTTAGTTTTTTTGGTTTGAAATGGTTTCTCCACTTAATAGGTGGAAGTTCGGTTTACTTCTATTTTCCACAGAAGCTAGTCAACTGGTCACGCCTCCACCACCCTGGTCACCCATTTTCTCCATCCTGGCCATCCAGGCGAGCCTACAGAGATTGCCTATGGCGAGGCGAAGTTGAGACTTTCGGGTGCTGTGGATGTTCTTGGACCATTCGTGGCGCGGTTTTGGGGGTTATTTGGATGTTCTTGAATGAACTGGTGAGTCCGTGTTCTTCGTCCAGGTGAAGGAACACAAAAAACACACCCTATTTGATTCCGTATGTAGGAACTGGCTGTAGTTCGACCATCTTCGGGATGTACTACTAAAATACATGTACACAAACCCTTTGGGCACAGGACCATTGTGTGATGGCCATCATTGACTAGTGGTGGTCATTGGTGCCACATGATCATTTGAGAAAGAGAGGGTTCATGTTGGTACAGTGTGGTCACGGGTGACTCGAATCCATTGCTTGGGAGATTTGAAGGCTCTACTCTTTTTCCTGCTATAGTGTTTCATGAATCTTTGATGTACCACCCAGAGACCCAAACATCTAGCTAAGATATGCTTGATATAGATGTGGGATTTGGTTTTGGCCGCGATGTTTGCCCAACTGGCCAACTTCCCGGTGCTTCTCCGCAGCAGAGTGGCTCACGTGAACGCTCTGCAACGGGAGCGGCACTGGCGTCGGGCCGTGATCGATCGTGATCGTCTCGACGAGACGGCAGGGGAGGCGAAAATCAGCTGTTCATGGCGCTCAGAAAGATGAAGAAGGTGAGCATTTGCATGGAAGTTGAAGTGGCTTGGGCATGGACGGTTTGGTTATACAGACCTGATAGAGATACACTCACAACTCGTGTCGCATTTTTTTGTACCTGGATGAAAGTGTTCGCCACCGGCCACCCAAGGGTTCAAGGGGCCATTTTCCTTCTGGGAGTGTGTATCTATCCCAGAGGATCCATATACCAGGACCTGCCAAGAGGTGTGTAAGGACCTACATTCACCCCAAATCACCAAAAGTGATCGGTAGGCGATATTTGCGCCACCATGGATCGTTTGGGTATAGTTCTTTTCTGGGACCCATGTGTTATTTTTAGATATTTTGTTTAATAGATGGTGACCCAGCACTTCATGGCAAGCATTCAGCACTTTGTGGGATACAACAGGTGATTTGGGTGATTTCTTTGGGTCATTGTTTTTATGAGATAGATGGGCAGAAACTTCAAGCTTCAAGCAGGTGCTTCGGATTTTGGATCGTCCAAAAAGCTCACATCCATCCGGGTCCTTGCAGGTTTTCCTGGCAGGTCGGTTCAAAGATGGTTTTGAGTATGTGTCACACCTCCAACCTTGGGCAAGCAGGTGGTTAGACCCCCAAACCCACCCTAACCACCTTCTCAGGAGGTAGTTGGAGCCCTAGGGTGTATATATATATACCAGCACCACGGATTAATCTATGTGTGAGAAAGGCCTTTACTGACCATCATCATTGGCTGTCACTGGGAATGGGATATGATATACAGTGTGCTCTCTAATAAGTCGTTCCTCATTGAACTATACCCCAGACGCTCCATGTATGCCATATATGCCTACATTGGGGTGGTTTGGGCTCTCTTCGCCCCAGAGTTTGAGCTTCAGGTCATCACTTATTTCCCTGAGCTGGAAACTGGTTCGATGAAGGCTTTGGAGGGTCTCCGATGGATGGGAAATGCAGCCAAAGCCACGGACACACAGAGAGTGGAGAAGGCAAACGCTGCTGGACTGGTACTAAGATCTTCCAGTTTGTGGCAACGCAGGCTCGCAGCTGTCAAACAACAGGACGACCAGATGGGGAAACTGCAGACAAAGCATCGACCAGAACTTCAGAGGATTTGAAGCCTTTTTTTGCCACGAGTGCCGCGCGATGGAGCACACATGCCGATGTCCAAGTGTGCCGATGTCCAGATGCACTCGCGATTTGAAGTAAAGCACATTCACTATTTAAGTGCCCTTCCATGAAGGATCATGATGGCAATTTTGACTCTTTGT